GCAGAGGTTGCAGTGAGCCGAGATCACGCCATTGCACTCCAGCCTGGGCAATAAGAGTAAAAATCTACCCCCCAAAAAAAAAAAAAACAAAAAAAACCAACAGCAACAACAAAAATACAAATACATACAAATTTGTATGATACTTATGAAAGTATCATTTAAAATCATATGTAGCATATGAAAATACCATTTAAATAAATAATCTTTATTATGTTATTCAAATCTTCTAAGGTCTTTTTTCTTTTTGAGACAGAATTCTACTCTGTCACCCAGGCTGGAGTGCAGTGGCTTGATCTCGGCTCACTGCAACCTCCACTTCCCGAGTTCAAGTGAGTCTCCTGTCTTAGCCTCTGGATTACTGGGATTACAGGCATGTGCCACCACACCTGGCTATTTTTTATATTTTTAGTAGAGATGGGGTTTCACCATGTTGGCCAGGCTGGTCTTGAGCTCCTGACCTCAGGTGATCCACCCACCTAGGCCTCCCAAAATGCTGGGATTACAGATGTGAGCCACCACACCCGGCCTACTTGAAATTGCTAATACTGAATTTTCCTACCATGATGATTTCTATCCATTTCTATTCATATGTGTAATTTTTTTTACTTTATGTATTTTGATTCCAAGCCTTCTGGTCTGTGCTTCTGAAAAATAAAATTATCATTTTTACTACCTTTATGAGTGTTTTGTTTTGTTGAATTTTACTTTGTCCAATATTACTAACATTCTAGTTCCTTCTATGTTCCTAATTGTCTCATATAGCCTTGCTCATCTTTTATTTTTAAGCTTTACATATTGTTTTTATTGTGAGATAATTCTTGAAACTGTAATACATCAGTTTGGTGTCATAACAGTCTGAAAGTCTTACCTTATTCTTTTAGAAATTTACCTTTTTACTTATATGGTTGTTATTTCTGTACTAGATCTTGTGATCTTATTTCCTGCTTTTCATGTGCTTGTGTACATGCATGTATTTGTTGTTGCTATTGATACTATTACTTAACTGTATTTTAGTCTCTCTTTTGCAGCAAGACATTTTTTTTTTTTTTTTTTGAGACAGTATCTCACTCTGTCGCCCAGGCTGGAGTGCAGTGGCACGATCTTGGCTCACTGCAACCTCTGCCTCCCAGCTACAAGCGATTCTCCTGCCTCATCCTCCTGAGTAGCTGGGACTACAGGTGTGTGCTACCACATCCAGCTAATTTTGTGTTTTTCGTAAAGACAGGGTTTCACCATGTTTCCAGGCTGGTCGCAAACTCCTGATCTCGGGATTACAGGCATGAGCCACCACGCCTAGCTTCTTCCTCTTTTTTTCTATGCAATGATTTGGAAAGTATCCATCCTATTTTTCAATTTTGCTAGTTGTTTACTTTAAAGACTCTAAAAAATGTTTTTAACTTAGCATGTATATGCTTTTTAAAAACCAGGATACCGGTGAATGTACAGATGACGCATACATGGATACTCAGCTACGAGTTACTTCCTTCTCACAGAAATGTGACATTTATCCAGGTAAGGAATAACACATGTTGACACACCCATAGAGGAATAGTGGTCCCAGACAACTGGCTGGGTCTTTTCCTATAAGTTGTGTTTTGGTTCCCATGATATACTCCAAAGTCTGTGTAACCTGCAGACATAGATGCCCCCCTTGATGAAAACACAGTACCTCTTCCCTGCCCAGTTGTACTGCAGCTCAGGCTGTTCTGTAAGTGGCCAGAATGGGTTACAAAGATGGAAGAGAAATACGTGACCCCTGGGCAAAGTTGGCCTTTGGGTACAATGCCGACTGGTCTCTCTTCTCTACAAGTTGTCCTCAAGTCAGTTGCTGCAATTTGGAGAGACCCGTATTTTATTTCTAACCATTCAGAATAAAACCCTTTCAGTTAAGGTGGTTTTTTTCCTGCATGTTATAACAGGAAGAAATGGAGATAGTATGAGTTTGTGGTCAGGTCAGTATTTCTTATAACAAGAGTTGGCTTTTCTCATACTTGGAAAACACTTGTATGCGTTCCACAATGAGTAATCTGAAGCTACCTGCTCACCAGAGCCACAGCACTTAAATTTTTCTTATGAGAGTCACTCCTTTAAATTAAGCATTGCTTTTTACAGTTTCCATCAAAATTGCAAACATTCAAGAAAAGTGTAGCATTTTGATTGAGTCACTCGCACCTTCCAATTGAATATGTTTCCCTAAATACAATGGGCTCTGAGGAGGAGAAAAGAATAGGGGCAGGAAGTGAAAATCAGACAGACAACCTTCACCCACTCACTTCTTAGTCTGGGCTACCATGTGGCCCTTTATAAATGTGGGTGCTAGTTCTTATGCAGGAGGGATGCTAGGCCAGGCTGCTACTTCAGTGTACATGCTGACTTAATATCTGATCCTTCCAGGGGAGGATTTTGTACAACCACCTACCAAGATTTGTCTTGGCTGCCCCAGAGATATACCCACCAACAGCCCAGAGCTGGAGGAGACACTGACTCACACCATCACAAAGCTTAATGCAGAGAACAATGAAACTTTCTATTTCAAGATTGACAATGTGAAAAGAGCAAGAGTACAGGTGTGTAAATTATGCTATAAAAGCAGTAACACTATAGTCTATGTGCAAGTTGCTTACTAATTTTGCCACTGATCTTGGCTCTGAATTGGGAAACTATCATTTGATAATGTGCTTTGGTAGATTAGATTTGGTAGATTCAGTGCCAATCTCCCTGCATGCTTGATCTTGGACAAGTCTTTTACAACATTCTCTCTGGTTTATATCTGTAAAAGACTGAAGTGCGGATCAAATAAATTCATATATGTCAGATCACTTTTTCAAACTCTAAAATGCTATATGAATGCAATAGCAACCATGACATAATTAATAAAATTCAGGGCTAGGGCCAGCAAGACTTACTCTATGTCTTTTTTGACTCATCTCTCACTATAATATCACATAATGCCTTGGGCTGGGCCACATCAGTCTATCCATTGTTGCCCAGGTTCCACACTCTCTTGCTTCCATGTCTTTCACCTACTGTTCTCTCTGCCTGGGATGGCCCTCTTGGAAATGTACACTCTGGGGATTCATCTCCCCTTTCATACCCTGTCAACAGAAGATTGACGGGAGTGTCTTCTGGGAGTAAGGAGACTCGGTTTCACGATAGCATCTGCCGCTCAAGTCCCAGATCACTCTGGGTGGTCATTCGAATGTTCTAAACTTTTGCAGCCCCATCTGTAAAACGAGTGACTGTATTAGAAGAGCCTACCTAGGCCATGTGCAGTGGCTCATGCTTGTAATCCCAGTAGTTTGGGAGGTCAAGGCGGGTGGATCGCCTGAGGTCAGGAGTTCAAGACCAGCCTGACCAACATGGAGAAATCTCATGTCTACTAAGAATACCAATTAGCCAGGAGTGGTGGTGGGCGCCTGTAATCCCAGCTACGCAGGAGGCTGAGGCAGGAGATCGCTTGAACCCCAGAGGCGAAGGTTGCAGTGAGCCGAGATCACGCCAGTGCACTCCAGTCTGGGCAACAGAGCAAGACTCTGTCTCAAAAAAAAAAAAAAAAGAAGAAGAAGAGCCTACATTTCTAGCAACTCCAATAGTCTCTGACCGATGTTTTTTTATGAACAGATTCCTATTTTAGGGACTCAAAACTGGCTTTCCTAAATACAAGTTAAAGAAAAATAATCAAAATAGAGCCAAACTATTACAGCAAGCCAACATAATCTTCATAATCTGGTGAAAAAATTCTCACTAAAAAGTTTATACATTTGGCTCGGAAATTGAATTTCTAGGAATCTAAAATAGGAGTCTTTCTATACAATGATATTCACTGAAGTTGTAATTATAACAGCAAAAATAGTCAACTGTCAAAATGATTAATAAGAGAATGATTGGATCATGCCTGGCATATCCTTAGAATAGAGTGTTAAGCAGCAATCTAAAAGAATCTTTGTGAGGCACTCTTGATGTGGGGAATGTCTTGTGTTATAATATTCAATGAAAAAAAGTAGGCATAAAATTGAATATCCATGATGTTATCAGTTGCGTTATTTAAAAGCACAGAAAACCATATGGAAAAAAATGGGGGTGGGTGCAGTGGCTCACACTTATAATCTCAGCACTTTGGGAGGCTGAAGTGGGTAGATTGCTTAAGGTCAGGAGTTTGAGACCAGCCTGGGCAACATGGTGAAACCCCGTCTATACTATTAGGTTGGTGCAAAAGTAGTTGCGGTTTTTGCCAAACTAATGGCAAAACCACAATTACTGTTGCACTAACCTAATAAAAATGCCAAAATTAGCCAGGTGTGGTGGTTCACACCTATAAGCCCAGCTACTCAGGAGGCTGAGGCACGAGAATCGCTTGAACCCAGGAGGCAGAGGTTGCAGTGAGCCGAGATTGCGCCACTGCACTCCAGCTTGGATAACAGGGTCAGACTCTGTCTCAAAACAAACAAACAAAAAACAAAGCCTCAAAATCATAGCGGTGATTTTCAGGTGATGGCATAACAGGCTACTTCAATCTTTCTAATTTCCTGTGTTACTTTTGTAACTGAAAATAGTAAACAAAATAGATTAAAGTAAATCAAAACTGAGACTTTGATCTCTCTGCTACTTGAGCACTCATTTCTATCCCAGACACGACCACCCTCTCTCTGATTTCATTGCCACATGACCACGTTAGGTTTACTTGAAAGGGATGCCAATCTATGCTACTCATGCTTTTATCAGCTTTAAGTCTCACTTTTTTCACTTTTTTTTTTTTTTGAGATGGAGTCTCACCCTGTCGCCAGGCTGGAGTGCAGTGGCACAATCTTGGCTTACTGCAACCTCTGCCTCCCGGGTTCAAGCAATTCCCCTGCCTCAGTCTCCCAAGTAGCTGGGACTACAGGTGTGTGCCACCATGCCCGGTTAGTGTTTTGTGTTTTAGTAGAGACGGGGTTTCACCATGTTAGCCAGGATGGTCTCAATCTCCCGACCTCATGATCTGCCTGCCTCGGCCTCCCAAAGGGCTGGGATTACAGGTATGAGCCACCACACTCGGCCCGTGAGATTCTTTTATTCTTTTGTTGTTATTGTTGTTTCATGAGAGATGGGGGCCAGGCACAGTAGCTCATGCCTGTGATCCCAGTACTCTGGGAGGCTGAGACGGAAGGATCACTGGAGCCCAGGGCAAGACTGGCCTGAGCAACATAACAAGACTCTGTCTCTACAAAAGAATTAAAGGCCGGGAGTGGTGGTTGGGAGGCTGAGGCGGATGGACCACTTGAGGTCAGGAGTTCGAGACTAGCCTGACCAATATAGTGAAAAACCGTCTCTATTAAAAATACAAAAATTTAGGCCAAGTGCAGTGGCTCATGCCTGTAATCCCAGCACTTTGGGAGACCAGGGAGGGCAGATCACCTGAGGTCGGGGGTTTGAGACCAGCCTCACCAACATGGAGAAACCCGACCTCTACTAAAAATACAAAAAAAAAAAAAAAATTAGCTGGGTGTGGTGGTGCATGCCTGTAATCCCAGGTACTCAGGAGGCTGAGGCAGGAGAATGGCTTGAACCTGGGAGGCGTAGGTTACGGTCAGCCATTACTTGAACTTGGGAGGCGGAGGTTGCAATGATCATGCCATTATACTCCAGCCTGGGTGACAAGAATAAAACTCTATCTCACAAAATTAAAAAAAGAAAAAGAATTTTAAAAATTAGCTGGGTATGGTGGTATGTGCTTGTAGACCCAACTACTTTGGGAGGCTGAAGTGGAAGGATCACTTGAGACTGGGAGGATCACTTGAGACCAGGACATCGAGGCTGCAGTGAGCTATGATCATGCCACTGCACATCAGCCTAGGTGACAGAGCAAGACCCTTTGGGCAACAGAGCAAACAAAACGAGAGAGAGAGAGAGACAGAGAGAGAGAGAGACAGAGAGAGATGAGGCTCCCACTCTAATGCCCACGTTGGACTCGAACTCCTGGGAGCAAGCAATCTGCCCATCTCAGCCTCCAGGTGCACACCACTGCACCCAGGTCCCTTATTCTTTATTCTTAATGTTGTAGGAATAATCCATCATGTATTGCATGTCAGAAATCTGCCATCAAAGAGAGAACCACTCATTCTCAAGCATAAATATCTAGTCCTCTTAACTGTAACTCTTAGTAGTTACAGTTCTCTCTGTGGTTTAACAAATCAATATTGTAGCGTGTGTGTGTTTATGTTAAGGATGCCAGGGGAACACTAAGAGGTCACCCTTCAGTTAGTTGCCAAGTCAATCTGAATATTGTGAGAATTTCAAACTTACTTTAGAGAGATGAATCTTTACTGACTTTTGCATTTAAAGAGAGCAATTTGGCTGCTTGGACATAGTCACCCAAGGAAGCATTGGTGGAAGCAGCCAATTTACTGGAAATTAAACATGATGAATTTGCTAAAAGCTAATCTCCAATCTACCTGGACTGAACTCCTACAAATGACCAATTTGCCAAATTGCTAAATATTTATTTTATAGTTTTAATCTTGCCTTGGGTTTGCATATTTAGTCCTGTTTGGACTCATGTTGATTCCACATTGGATTTATATTTCAGATGCCAAATATTTCCTGAATCTTCCATTTTCACACGTTAGGAATTGCAGCTTCAGATACATTTTATTTTGCCCTGCCATCACTGCTGCTGTCCCCAAGCTGTTGATGCTCCTGCCTGTCTCTGCTGAGATGAATATACTTCCAAGATAATGTGTGTGTGCATGCAGAAATTTTGCCTTTGACAAAGTCCTAGAAATGTCAAAAAATATGTATATATCTAAGACTTGATGTAAATTACCAAAATCACCAAACTATTTGCAATGATGCCAATTTACATTCACATCACCTAGGTATATGACACCAGTTGAGGATCTTAATTTGAATTCTCTTCCCACCAGCAGTGACTGAGGCTGAAGGTTTCCTATGCCTGGCCAACACCAGGTATCATCAACTTTTGTTTTCATCTTTGCCAGCATAGAAGGTTAACAATGATGTCTCATTGCTTTTTTTAATGAGCATGTTTTTGTTTATTAATGACGTTAAACTTTTTTTTCAAGCTTAATGACTATTTTAATTCATTCTCTGAAATATCATGGTTTTTGTCCATTTTTTATTGTTGGGCTTCATATGCATATAGATATTGATTTTATATCACAGTTTTTCCAGTTTGCCCTTTTACTTTACTTACCTGTTGGGGTCACCACCTGCAGGGGTCTGTCCTGCAGACCCTGACTCAGCGATGGATGAATAACATACATTCACACACAGAATACAGTGAATGAACGGGCTGGGTGTCCATGGTCAATGATACGGACTCCCTTGGGAGTACTGTAAACAGTTGTGATTGCCAGCCCTTACATGCTGGCCTCTCTGGTCTTTATTCAGCACACATTAAATGACAAAAACTTTGAGTCAACACCATTAGAAGTTGAAGATTAAAGGACAGATTCTGATGCCTAAAGCAAATACCATTTAGTGGGTAATATCCTTTGTTGACCTCCCCACAAGAGGAGCCATCTGGAATAATCAAAGGTTAATTTTAGAACCACACGAGTAAACAAGTTAGTTAGGTAAACTCCACGCATTCCTTTGTTTTTGCTATAATTTATTTAACTAAGGGAACAAGGCTGCCTTCAGCCAAGAACCGTAGAAAAAACCCTTAGGCCTTACATAAGGATATGAGACTATATTCTATAACTTTCTCTAATATTTTTCCCTTAATATTTTTGCCAGTATCTTGACTGAACTCCTATACTTACTGTGATTTTTCAGAAGCAGTTTTCATTTTTGTTTAGTGAAGTTTTAATATTTTCCCCTTCCTTTAGATTTCTTTCTTCTGCTTTTCACCTAAGAAAGGCCTTTCTCATCATGAGTTTTGGTGAATATTTATTTATTTGTTTTCTTTTTTTTGTTTATTTTGTTTGTCTCATTTTTCTGAGACAGTCTCACTCTTTTGCTCAGGCTGCAGTGCAGTGGCGCAATCTTGGCTCACTGCAACCTCTGCCTCTCAGGTTCAAGTGATTCTCCTGCCTCAGCCTCCCCAGTAGCTGGGATTACAGGCACCTGCCACCACGCCCAGCTAATTTTTTGTATTTTTAGTAGAGACAGGGTTTCAGCATGTTGGCCAGCCTGATCTTAAACTTCTGGCCTCAAGTGATCCACACACCTTGGCCTCCCAAACTGCAGGGATGACAGGAGTGAGCCACTGTGCCCAGCCTATTTTTGCTTTTTATTTCTTTAATTTTTTTTGAAGGTAAGCTTAAACAGGGAAGACTTCTGGTAAGAATGACCCCTGAGAAAGGTGGCAATGTGGATGCAATTTTTAGGCCCTCAGATGGAAGATGTTATTTAAGGTCTATTTAATTCCTCTCCTCTGGACCCTGAATAGAGTTGAGCCATCAGCTGTGGTTTGCATTACAAATTGTCAGCTTTCTTAGGCTACATTACATTGATCAACTTTAATTAAGGTCTACTCTGAAATGAGCAAGATAATTCACGAGCACAAAGGAAAGATTCTGAATCCCTCTTGAAACCTCTTCTCAACTTCCCCACATACCTAGATTTTTCAAAGTTAATCATTAAATTCATTTTAAAAATGTAACCATACTTAGCCAGCAAAACAACACCAGAAAAGAGGAAAAGTTTAGTTCTTCCAATGACTCCTCCCTGCAATCATCTCACATCATGCTTTTATCTTTTTTTTTTTTTCCCCCTTTTATCTCATTTACACTGAAGGTCTACACATCATGCTTTAAAAAACAAAAAAAACAAAAAAAAATCAGGAGACAGAGAAGACTGTTGTAGTTTGCCTTTACAAAAATGGGATTACACTATCACCCTGTAACTTCCATTTTTTTCAATAATGGCTGTCCCTGTAGGTTAATAGATATAGGTAGCATGCATTCTTTTTAATAGCTACATACTATTACAAACACACCCACACACACACACACACTTATTTTATTTATTTATTTATTTATTTATTTATTTATTTATTTTGAGATGGAGTCTCACCCTGTTGCCCAGGCTGGAGTGCAATGGTGGGATCTTGGCTTACTTCAACCTCCACCACCCAGGTCAAGTGATTCTCCTGCCTCAGCCTCCATAGTCGCTGGGATTACAGATGTCTGCCACCATGCCCAGCTAATTTTTTGTACTTTTAGTAGAGATGGGGTTGTACTATATGTTGGCCAGGCTGGTCTCGAACCCCAAACCTCAGGTGATCTGCCCGCCTCGGCCTCCCAAAGTGCTGAAATTACAGGCATGAGCCACTGTAACCGGCCAACACATTTAAAAATGTAACCATACTTAGCCAGCAAAAAAACACTAGAAAAGAGGAGTTTAATTCTTCCAATGACTCCTCCCCACAATCACCTCACATTGTGCTTTTAGCAACCAAATATTAAAGAATTTGGTTGAGAAACTGGGCCACAAAATATTTAATGAAAGATAGTGTTGTTTAGTGATTAAAACTGTTGCTAGAGATTAAAATAATAATTACTATTTTTTTGAGACAGAGTCTTACTCCGTTGCCCAGGCTGGAGTGCAGTGGTGTAATGTCGGCTCACTGAAACCTCCCCCTCCTGGGTTCAAGTGACTCTTCTGCCTCACTCTGCCAAACAGCTGGAATTACAGGCAGGCACCATGATGCCCATCAAATATTTGTATTTTTAGTAGAGATAGGGTTTGACCATGTTGGTCAGGCTGGTCTTGAACACCTGGCCTTAAGTGATCCACCTGCCTCTGCCTCCCAAAGTGCTGGGATTCCAGGCATGAGCCACCGTGCCCAGCCTAAAATAATTTCTTAATATTAAAAATAGTATGAGAAGCAATAAAAAAACAATTTTTCTAATTACATAATCCACATAATTTCTATAGTACTACTATATTAGTACTTCACCAATTCAAGAGTTGGCAGAAACAAGACATGTTTAAAAACATTTTAAGTTTTTCTTCCTATTCCTTTTAGATTCTTAGATATTACAACTTGAACTCTTGAATTACTAGTGAATTTGACAGCTGTTGGTCAATAAAGCTCAAATAAATACATACATAAATAAAAATTGTAGCTTGCTTTTTTTCTTCCTTCATTTAGAAAAGGAAATGGGACCAACCAATTGCCAAATATTTTAAATATGCCGGTAAGATTTAATGCCAAACATTTGTACTTTTTGTGTGTAACTCTCTAAGTTGATCAATTAAAATTTCAAGATTCTCCCTTAAAATTTCTTAAAGATAAATGATTTATTATGCAAATATTTCTTAAGCATTCATTTTGTGCTAATTAATTTTTCAGGTGGTGGCTGGCAAGAAATACTTTATTGACTTCGTGGCCAGGGAAACCACATGTTCCAAGGAAAGTAATGAAGAGTTGACCAAAAGCTGTGAGACCAAAAAACTTGGCGTGAGTAGTCATGCACCTGTCTACTTTTTCACTGGAAGCTTATTTGGTGTTTTAAAAATCATTTGTTTAAATATTTCATGAATAACACTGTCTCTCTTTTGACTTCTGTTTTCATGGATAGCAAAGCCTAGATTGCACTGCTGAAGTTTATGTGGTACCTTGGGAGAAAAAAATTTACCCTACTGTCAAGTGTGAACCACTGGGAATGGTATGATTCTAATTACAGTCGGTATGGGGTCAGTTCTGCTCATTCTGAAAATTCATATCGAGGGGTTGAAAATGAACCATTACTGAAATGAATTGGGGAGCTATCTTCTTAAAATGGGGAGTAACTCTCACACTTCTGTGCTGATGTGTTTAATGACCAGAAAGGAGAGTAATAGTCCTCCTGACCATTTCTCACACATTGTCAGTGTCTCAGTGAAGCTGCTATAGACCCTCTCCTAGTGCACTGCAGTCCTGCTGTGGAGTAGCAACATCGGCTATGCCAGGTGCACCTGAGGCCAGATACAGCACTCCACTGCATTCTGCTGACATGCAAGGACCATGTGAAAAATGCACAGCTGGGCATAGTGGCTCACGCCTATAATCCCAGCATTTTGGGAGGCCGAGGCGGGCAGATCACCTGAGGCCAGGAGTTCGAGGCCAGCTTAGCCAACATGGTGAAACTCCTTCTCTACTGAAAATACAAAAATTAGCCAGGTGTGATGGCGTGTATCTGTAATCCCAGCTACTAGGGAGGCTGAGACAGGAGAATCACTTGAACCCAGGAGGCAGATGTTGGTATGAGCCAAGATCTCGCCACTGCACTCCAGCCTAGGCAACAAAGAGCAAAGCTCCATAAAAGGAAGAAGGGGAGGGGAGGAGTGAGGTGGGGACTGGAGGGGAGGAAAGGGAAAAGAAAGAAAAGAAAGAGAAAAATGCAGACTCGCTGGCCTGTAATCCCAGCATGTTGGGAGGCCCAGGCAGTAGATCATCTGAGGTCGGGATTTCAAGACCAGCCTGACCAACATGGAGAAAACCCCATCTCTACTAAAAATACAAAAAAATTAGCAGGGCATGGTGGCAGGCACCTGTAGTCCCAGCTACTCGGAAGGCTGGGACAGGAAAATCGCTTGAACCCGGGGGGCAGAGGTTGTGGTGAGCCAAGATCACGCCACTGCACTCCAGCCTGGGCAACAAGAGCAAGACTCCATCTCAAAAAAAAAAAGACAGAAAAGAAAAGAAAAATAAAGACTTGCAAACCCCACTTCACAGCTACCAAATTTTAACAAGATGCCTGGGGAATTGAGTTTGAGAAGCATTTGTTGATGTCATCTTTCTTTTTTAAATCTTAAAAGAACCCTGGGAAGTAGTAACCCTTTCCCTATTGTCAAGGATGAGGCACTAAAAACCAGAAAGACTTTGAGGTCCTGAGTGAATGATGACACTATCAAATGCTTCCTCTGTCCCAGGCACTATACTGAAGGCTTCACATATTTTCTATTAGTTTTCCTTATAACTCTATGAGGCAGGTGCTGTTATTATTTCTATGTTACAGAGGGGAAAAGTGAAGCTAGTGACACCTGGATTCAAATATTGGTCAATTCAGAGTCTACCCTTTTCATGATGATGCTGATGACCAGTAGGGTCTGGCTTGACTCCAATGACCATGTTCTTTGCATCACCAAGGATGATGTTAATCACTGCCTCCGATTAACACCTTCTCACGGGCAGTAAGTGTAGGTAGAATTAATCCACAAATCAACATCTTCGACGCAAGTTGCCTCTTCTCCCTCTTTTCTGATTTAGTCTTTTGTCGTGTATAGGTATGTAGACGGACTAACACAAACATTGTACAAAGGCTGCATTTCAAGCTTGTGAATATGTCCTAATGTACTTCAGCACAACAAAGTGATCATGGATACATGCTCCCTATATATTCAGTTCATAAAGCCACTTGGGGCCTTTTAGGATGAAAGCAGTGATGATGATAATAACAATAGTATCAATAATTAAATGCTGTGCTTGCATAATCATAGGCTTAGAAGATACCCTAGAGATTAGCTACTTCAACCACCCAATTTTTCCAGATGAAGAAAAAGCTCTCTAGCTTATTTTACTGTTTATTTGTTTTTGAGACAGAAACTCACTGTCACCCAGGCTGGTGTGCAGTGGCACCATCTCGGCTCACTGCAACCTCCACCTCTTGGATTCAAGCAATTCTCCTGCCTCAGCCTCCTGAGTAGCTGGGGTTACAGGCATGTGCCATCATGCCCAACTAATTTTTGTATTTTTAGTAGAGATGGGGTTTCACCATGTTGGCCAGGCTGGTCTCGAACTCCTGACCTCAAGTGATCTGCCCTCCTTGGCTTCCCAAAGTGCTGGCATTATAGGCGTTAGCCACCATGCCCAGCCATTTTACAGTATCATTAAGAACAAAAATCAATGTCCACAAATTTTAAGGTCAATCAAAAGAGAAAAAAGTAATATTCATCCTTTCTGGTATATTAATGTAGTATTTAAAATCTGGCAAACACCTCCCCCATTATAAACTAAGATAGCATTGTCAGATATCTGTGTTTGTTTCCTTCATTGATAGCACAATACATTCATTTTATATTTTCTGTTTAGACCTCACTGATGAAAAGGCCTCCAGGTTTTTCACCTTTCCGAACATCACAAGCAGGGGAAATAAGAGAAGAAACAACTGTAAGTCCACCCCACACTTCCATGGCACCTGTACAAGACGAAGAGTGGGATTCAGGAAAAGAACAAGGGCATACTCGTAGACATGACTGGGGCCATGAAAAGCAAAGAAAACATGGTCTTGGCCATGGCCATAAACATGAACGTGACCATGGGCATGGGCACCAAAGGGGACATGGCCTTGGCTGGGGGCACCAACAACAACATGGTCTTGGTCTTGAACATAAGTTCAAACTTGATGATCTTGAACACCAAGGGGGCCATGGCCTTGACCATGGACATAAGCATAAGCATGGTCATGGCCACGGAAAACATAAAAATAAAGGCAAAAAGAATGGAAAGCACAATGGTTGGAAAACAGAGCATTTGGCAAGCTCTTCTGAAGATAGTACTACATCTTCTGCACACACCCAAGAGAAGACAGAAGGGCCAACAGGCATCCCTTCCCTAACCCAGCCAGGTGTAGCAGTTATACCTGACTTTCAGGACTTTCAGGACTCTGATCTCATTGCAACTATGATGCCTAATATACCACCAACTCCCACAGAGAGCGATGATGATTGGATCCCTGATATCCAGATACAACCAAAGGGCCTTTCATTTAACCAGATATCAGATTTTCCAGATACAACCTCCCCCAAATGTCCTGGACGCCCCTGGAAGTCAATTAGTGAAATTAATCCAACCACAAAAATGAAAGAGTCATATGCTTTTGATCTCACTGATGCTCTTTATTAATTTATGCAGCCATGGGTATTTCTTTAATACTTTTATTAAGGTATCAATATCCCTCTCTCCATTGTCCAAATGCAAATATACTGATATAACGCACCAAAAACTGTGCAGCTTCAGAACAGCCTAAAGAGAAGTGGTAGATTCCCAGTGGAGACACCATCAATCTCCACGGACTGCATAAAATTGTGTGCCACAATTCTAAATCTTTTCAGAATCTTCTTCACAAGTTTTCTAAATTAGCACAGAAAATGGACAAACTAATGTGCCTTATGGCCTGCTGCAGTTGGCTTCTGTGATAACAAATGTGTACCTTACAAAGTATGTCATAAATTTTCACACGAAGATTCTTGACATTCTGAACGAACTGTGGCACCTGCTCTTTGAATGTGTGTGAAAATAAGGGAAATCAAAAGATTAAATGCTAAACTTATTAATAGAGTAAAAAAAAAAAAAAAAAAAAAAAAAAAAAAAACTTCCAGATGTCAAAGAGAAGTAACAAGAAAGAAAGACAGGTTGGCCAAAGGGAGGAAAAGGGGGACATAATTGACTTTCTGTTCCCAAAACGGGCTAGTTATATCAAATAAGTACTCCCACTTGACAAAGCTATTCTGATAATTCCCTTTCTAGATGAGAGTGTTTCTTATAAGTCAATAATTTCTATTTACTCATTAACTACTCTTTACAATAGGCTTTCATATAGGAGTATTCTGTTTATTTTTTGCTGAGGCTAAATTGAGTGATTCTTAGTTTACAGAAGCTCTGAGCTTAATGATAATGCTGAAAAGCAGAGAAAGCAATATAGAACCAGGCTTGCTAAGGAAGCTTTTTAAATAATGGACAAGGGAATATTATAGAATGTCATGCAGTTGGTTCAGAAATTTTATGAGGAAATTCTTCTCTAGTCTCACTTTATAATCATATCATCTTTTTGCTATGACATTGAAGACCATTGAGTTTAGCAAAAGAGATAATAGGATTGTCTTTCATTGCCTTATCGTTCAAAGAAGGTTTATGTTTTATAACCAATGTTGTACTTTTGCCTAGAGAAACAAGACATGGCTTTAAATAGCTACAGTCATCTTTGGATGCGTATGTCACTGCTGTTTCAATTTATTGGATGTATTTGAACCTCTGAGTTTGTCTTTCATCTTATATATTGCCTGTACTTTTAAATAAACAACCAAAGGCGTCAGGAAAAAGTCTTACCTTGTCAACTGGATGCTCCACTTTTTAAAAAACATTGAATGATAACATCAGATTAACTGAGTTTTACTATACTTACAGAGTCACCTAAGGTCCTGCGAGTACAGGGGTCGACCCCCAAAAGCAGGGGCAGAGCCAGCATCTGAGAGGGAGGTGTCTTGACCAGTGGGCAGAATCTTCACTTCAGGCACATAGCCCCAACCACCTCTGCCAGCAACCTTGAGAGGAAGGACAAGAAGAAAGATGGGATAGAATTTAAATAGAGAAGAATGCCATTTTATCATTCTGCCTTTGGGTGAAATAAAGATCAGTTTTGACGTTCTTACTCCTGGTTAATTCACAGTGGTCTCCTTTCGGCCATACCCATCCTGCATCAAATTCTAGCTGGTCAGACTCAGTGCTGTGGCTCTGCCGTGGAGGCTTATAACACAACACTGGAACACTCCCTAACCAAGGCAGGAAGACTTAGGAGGGACTTCCTTACCACTGTGGGTGCTAAATTAAGTCAGTAGGTCATGCTTCAACCAATAATCTAAGGACTCTCTCCACCTTCTCTTCCTCCCTCTTCTCCTGATTCCCAAGCCTTTAGCTAACAGTAATTTGGCTTGTTTAGTATTTTCTTATGGTCCAGATAATTACCAAAAATTTTTTTTAAATCATCTCTGTTAATATGATGTCTGCCAACTTCTCATTATCACAAAATACCTAACCTCCAAAAAAGTTTTTAAAAAAATTGAAATTGCCAGGTATGGTGGCTCATGCCTGTAATCCCAGCACTTTGGGAGGCCAACGTGGGCAGATCACGAGATCAGGAGATGGAGAACATCCTGGCTAAAACAGTGAAACCTCATCTCTACTAAAAATACAAAAAATTGGCCAGGCATCATAGCACGTGTCCCAGCTACTCGGGAGGCTGAGGCTGAAGAATCACTTGAACACGGAAGGCAGAAGTTGCAGTGAACTGAGATTGTCCACTGTACTCCAGCCTGGCCAACAGAGCGAGACTCCGTTTCAAAAAACAAACAAACAAAAAACCCTTGATAAAAAAAAAAAAAAAAAATGTTTGAAAAAAAAAAAAAAAAAAAGAAAAGAAAATTTGAAATTATCTTTGTGATCCAGGTAAAGAAGAAAATAGAAAATCAATAAAATAAAAAGTGACAGATTTTAAATTTTCTGTAATAAAAATCCCAACACTTCAGGAGGGTGAGACGGGTAGATGACCTGTGGTCAGGAGTTCAAGACCAAAAAATCTGGCAAACACCTCCCCCATGGTAAACTAAGATAGCATGGTTACATGGTGAAACCCCGTGTCTAATAAAAAGACAAAATTAGCCAAGTGTGGTGGCTTGTGCCTGTAGTCCCAGGTGCTCCAGAGGCTGAGGCAGGAGAATCACTCAAGCCTGGGAATACAGAGGTTGCAGTGAGCTGAGATCACACCACTGCACTCCAGCCTGGGTGACAGAACAAAACTAAGTGTCAAAAAAAGAAAAAAAAAACATTTATTTAACATCTATTACCATCATTTGCTATGGTAGACAATTTATTTTTGGCATATAACTTAATCCTCACAACCATTCTAAGGTGCCCATGATCATCACTCTTTTTTTTTTTTTTTTTTGAGACAGGGTCTAACTGTTGCCCAGGCTGTAGTCCAGTGGCACATCCGAGCTCACTGAAGCCTCCACTTCCCCAAGCTCAGGTGAGCCTCTCACCTCAGCCTCCCAGATAGTTTCGCTCTGTCACCCAGGCTAGAGTGCAGTGGCGCAATCTTAGCTTACTGCAACCTCCACCACCCGGGTCCAAGTGATTCTCCTGCCTCAGCCTCCCAAGTAGCTGGGATTAGAGGTGTGTGCCACCACGCCTGACTAATTTTGTATTTTTAGTAGAGGTGGAGTTTCTCCATGTTGGTCAGGCTGGTCTCAAACTCCCAACCTCAGGTGATCCGCTCACCTTGGCCTCCCAAAGTGCTGGGATTACAGGCATGAGCCACTGCGCCCAGCGATCGTCATTCTTTTATGAGAAAACTGTAGTTCACAGTGCCCTGCCCAAGGTCACATAGTTAATAAGTGACAGAGCTGGCATTCAGACTTAGACCTTTTGAACACCATTAACCAAGTCATTTTAAGGCTTTATTATTAATGTTGTCATCACAAAAGTCACACCAAGTCACTGACTAGAGTCACAGAGACCCAATAAATTAAAAACAAAACAAAACAAAAAGACATTCCGAGATAATTTCTGACTCTGAGAGGATCCTTGTCTCAATCCCATATATTCTTATTAAATACCTAATTGTAGCTGGTGCTGCTCTGAGTATTGGTCAGGGTAAACTGACAGAAGCAGCAGCCACTAACTATTTACCATATGCTTTGCCTGAGGCCCTGAGAAGAAACGAAATAAATTTTAAAAGACATAAATCCTTTCCCTAAAAGATCTTGCAACCCCATTGGTAAGTCAAGATGAAAGCATATGGAACAAAGACTTGATCCAGGCTGCAGTCCTCTGTGCAACAGTGAGGGGACGCAACCAATGTGATTGGAAGAAGTTGACGAGGTGGAGGGAGCAGCTGTGAAAGGCAGCATGGAGCCTAGTTGGGAGTTTAGGCTGAAATAGGCAGCAGAGTTCCTTCTACAGTCTTTGTTATACTCAAAGAGTGTGTGAGATAGAGTATTCTGAAGGTTCTGGGTACGGTGGATCAGAATGAGAATGGAGTCAGGATATTTCCCGACCATCATGTGTTAGCAGAATGACCACTCAGGGCTGATACATAAAGCCTATCTTTTCAGTTTACTCAACAACATGAAGTATTTCCACTTCAGGCCTTTGTTAGGTAACATAAACACGAGTTTCCTGTAACCCAGAAACTAACTTTCTTACTTTTCAAATATCTATGCCAGCTGGGCGTGGCTCACATCTATAATCCCAGCATCTTGGGAGGCCAAGGCGGCCGGATCACAAGGTCAGGAGTTCGAGACCAGCCTGGCCAACATAGTGAAACCCCACCTCTACTAAAAATACAAAAATTAGCCAGGCATGGTGGTGGGTGCCTGTAGTCCCAGCTAATCGGGAGGCTGAGGCAGAAAAATTGCTCGAACCCAGGAGGCGGAGGTTGCAGTGAGCCAAGATCATGCCACTGCACTCCAGGCTAGGCAACAGAGAGAAACTCTGTCTTAAAAAACAACAACAACAAAAACAATTTGTTGGTGTGGCGGCGGGTACCTGTAATCCCAGCTACTGGGGTGCCTAAGGCAGGAGAATCACTTGAACTGGGGAGGCAGAGGTTGCAGTGAGCCGCGATCATGCCACTGCTCTCCAGCCTCAGTGACAGAGCAAGACTCTACCTCAAACAAACAAACAAACCCCAACTCCCAAGCCAAAGTCACACCCCAAGTGGCCAGCCCTGGCCCTGGGGCCACACAGCTCCATCGCTCTGTGCTTCTCTTCGGGGCAGCATTTCCTCTTCTCCTATCCAACACACATTCCTCACATTGTCTACACCTAGCTCCTCAAACAGGAAACCCCTGTTGGCTTTTTATCCCACTCTCCACCTGCTGCTTCTAAGCCTGGCTCCAAAGGACTTAACTCACAGGAGGACACATGCTTTTTGGCCTCAGCCCAGTCTGTCCCGCACCCACGCTCTGTACCTTCTGCTGCTGCTCTGTACCTTCCCCTTGCTGGGGAGCCCAGACCTCCCAAGGCTCCTCTGAGAATACTTGAGAGGATCCAGTAGCTATGTTAAAAGCCCACTCCTGTAATCCCAACACTTTGGGGAGCCAAGGTGGGCGGACCACCTGAGGTCAGGAATTCGAGACCAGCCTGGCCAACATGGTAAAACCCTGTCTTTAGTAAAAATACAAAAAAATTGCTGGCGTGGGGGTGTGCGCCTGCAGTTCCAGCTACTCAGGAGGCTGAGACACGAGAATTGCTTGAACCCAGGAGGTGGAGGTTGCAGTCAGCCAAGATCTCGCCACTGTACTCCAGCCTGGGTGACAGAGTGAGACTCTGTCTCAAAAAACAATACAAGGGCCGGGCGCGGTGGCTCAAGCCTGTAATCCCAGCACTTTGGGAGGCCGAGGCGGGTGGATCACGAGGTCAAGAGATCGAGACCATCCTGGTCAACATGGTGAAACCCCGTCTCTATTAAAAATACAAAAAATTAGCTGGGCATGATGGTGCGTGCCTGTAATCCCAGCTACTCAGGAGGCTGAGGCAGGAGAATTGCCTGAACCCAGGAGGCGGAGGTTGCGGTGAGCCGAGATCGCGCCATTGCACTCCAGCCTGGGCAACATGAGTGAAACTCCGTCTCAAAAAAAAAAAAAAAATACAAAACAAAAACAAAAACCACTATTCTGAAAGCCCAGTCTCTCTCTCTCTCTATATGTATATAGTAAGTTAGGTGATCAAAAGGCAAAATGCCACTTCAACCTCTTGAAAAATGCTGTGTTACATTATTTAAGATTATACTTTCACCTTTTATTTCTTTTTCTTTTTTTTTTTTTTTTGAGACGGAGTCTTGCTCTGTCACTAGGCTGGAGTGCAGTGGTGCAATCTAGCTCACTGCAGTCTCTGCCTCCTGGGTTCAAGCGATTCTTCCACCTCAGCCTCCCGAGTAGCTGGGACCACAGGCGTGTGCCACCATGCCCGGCTAATTTGGTTGTCTTTTTAGTAGAGACAGGGTTTCACCGTGTTGGCCAGGATGGTCTCGATCTCTTGACCTCGTGATCCGCCCACCTTGGCCTCCCAAAGTGCTGGGATTACAGGTGTGAGCCACCACGCCCGGCCTCATCTTTTATTTCATGAGAATCTCCATTTGAACACCATTCTGTCTTTTGCAAAACTTTCTCTATATTTACCAGGCTGTTCTCAAATTCCTGAGCTCAGGTGACCCATCTATCTCAGCCTCCCAAAGTGCTAGGATTACAGGTGTGCGCCACTGCGTCCGGCCTTCTTTTTAATATTAATTATCCAGTTTTACATTGTTCTACTTGATTAACACTAGGCTTGAGTACAA